AGCCTGGGCAACTTAGTGACTTAGTGAGATCCTGTTTCAAAATGGAAAAATAAAATGGGCTGGGGATGTACTCAGTGTGAAATGCCCTGGGCTTAATGCCTCTCACTAAAGAAAAACTTTTTTTTAATTTTATGGAAAAAGTAAAAGAATTTTGTAACAAAATGATAGGAAAAGAAAAAACGTAATTTAGAAAAGGAAAAAAAAAACACACCTGAACTATACTATTCTTTAAAATCACTGAGCAGGAAAAGCAACACTGAACTTTCATACTGATTTTACATAATTTTTACACAGTTCCTTTGAATTAAATCCAAGAACAAAAGTTAAGATTCTCCTCTATTTTTGGTAAACAACTGTCTGGTAAACTTAGATGACTTTTGCCCTAGATTTTACTTGGGAATGGTCTTCTTAGTATTTTATTTAAAAGAGAGCTGGTTTGGCACTTTTATACTGATGTCACCAAGGAGAAGAGATCTAGACTCTTTAATGAAATTGAAAGGGAAGCTGTCATTCATGGAAGCAAGCATTACCCTGATTCCAAAACCAGAAAAGGACCCAACCAAAAAAGAAATCTATAATCCAATTCTTTAATGATTTCTTGGGATCTCAGGGAGATATTTTTTTTTTTGAGACAGGGTCTTGCTATGTAGTTCAGGCTAGCTTTGAACTCACTATGTAGCCCAGGTTGGCATCAAACTGGTGGTGATCCTCCTGCCTCAGCCACCCAGGTGCTGGGATTACAGGAATACTGGCTGGAAGGATTCATATTCTTTACAGCTGGTACAGTTTGAGCTAGAGCTATTGCTAAGCCAGCCTCAGATTTCTCCAGTTTATTTTGTGCATTAATTTGTGTAACACTTTCATTCATGTTGGTTTCCAATACCATTCCCCTGCATCGCCATTTCCACAAGAATATTGTGAACTTTTTCTACCTGAAAAATTAAATCCAGTTCACAGACATTTTCAAAACATTTGTCTAATGTTTCCAAGAACACTTGAATTAGATCTGAAATGCCAAGTTCACTTTCTGAAGAATCCACACAAAAGACAAAATACAGTGTTGTATAATGTGTATAAATCAATTTGTTGTCAGATCCTCCAATTAATAATTCTTCTAGGAAATTATAAACATTTTAATCTCTTAGATGCCAAATGGAAAGTCTCCCTGATGACTTGTGGTTGTGTATCTTTACTGTAGTGCTGGTAGAACTTGGAGAGTTGTAGCTTCCTTGTTGAAGCTGAGAATTGCCTTGAGCATGGCTGGGCCAGGCCGACCTGGTGGACACTGGGAGCCAGGGTGGGGGCAGGCACATGAGCCTCACCTCAGGATCTGCTGGCTATCTTTCACCATCCATCCACTCTAAAATCTTGTAGAATTCAGCAGTGAATCTGTCAGGACCTGGGCTTTTCTTACTTGATAGTTTTTTAAAAAATTACTTCTTCAATTTCATTGGCTGATATGGGGTTATTTAGGATTTTTATATCTTCTTGGTTCAGCTTTAGCAGTTCATATGTATCTAGGAATCTATCCTTTTCTTCTGAATTTTCCATTTTAATAGAGTATGGGTTCTCAAACCAGTTACCAGTGATCTTCTGGATTTTGGCAGAACCTCTTGTTATTTCATGTTTTTCATTTCTAATTGTATGGATTTGGCTCTTTTCTTTCCTTATTTTGATAAGATTGGTTAAGTGTTTATCTACTTTATTATTTCAAAGAACCAACTCTTTGATTCACTGATTTTTTGTATTTTTTTAGTGTCAATTTCATTAATTTCCCATGTGATCTTTGTAATTTCCTTTTCATACTAGCTTTGGCTTGTTCTTGTTTTTCTAGGGCTTTGAGTTGTATTACTAGGTTACTTATTTGAGGTCACTCTGTTTTTCTGATGTGGGTATTCACTGCTATAAACTTCCCACTTAAGACTGGTTTCATTGTGTCCCATAGGTTCTGGAACATCATACTGGCATTATTGTTTGACTGTAGGAACTGTCTAATTTATTCCTTAATTTCATCTGTTACTCACTGATTATTCAAGAGGGTGTTGTTTAATTTCCATGTGTTTGCATAGTTTTTGTGCTTTCTTTTGTCAATGGTTTCTAGTTTCATTGCACTAGATTTTGATAATATACACGGGATAATTTGATTCTTTTGCATTTACTTAAGTATGCTTTATGGGCTAGTATGTAGTTCATTTTGGAGAAAGCCCCACATGCTGCTGAGAAGAATTCTGTTGTTGTTGGATGGAACACTCTGTAGATAGCTATTAAGTCCATTTATTTGAAGGTTTGGTTCAACTCTGATATTTCTTTGCTGATTTTTTTCTCCAGTTGATCTATTTATGACAGTGAGGGTATTGTCCACCGTTACAATTGTCTTGGTGTTTATCTGAGTTTTCATGTCCATAAGGGTTTGTTTTATGAAGTTGGGCATGTCAGTATTGGTGCATATATGTTTATAATTGCTATCTCTTCCCATTGAATTGTTCTCTTAACCAATATGTAGTGACCTTCTTTGTCTCTTCTGATCACTTTTGGCCTGACAACTACTTTGTCTGAAATTAGGATAGGTGCTCCTGCTTTTTCTCAGGTTCCCAATGCTTAGAATATCATTTTCCATGCTTTGATTTTTAATGTGTAAAATTTTAAAGTTAACTATATTTCTTGTATAGTGCACATTGTTGTGTTTTGTTTCTTGATACCTTCCGTCAACCTGTGTCTTTTGATTGGGGAATGGAGACGATTCACATTGAGAATTATTACTGAAAGGTATTGACTTATTCCTGTCATTGCATTATATTCCTGCTACCTATTTCCTTATTTTTTCCTTTTCCTTAGCTTCTCATCCCACCAAATGTATTAATTCTTTTTGACTTACTGGTATTGCTGGCTTCATTATTTCTTTCTGGGATATGCTTGAGAAGTTTTTAAATGCTGGTTTGGTGGTCATGAATTTTTTCAGATTTGTTCCTTGTCTTAGAAATGTGTTATTTCTCCATCCATTTTTTGGTTTTTTTTTTTTTTTTTTTGGTACCAGGAATCAAACTCATGACCCCATGTTTGCTAGGCAGGTGCTGTGACACTGACCTAAATCCCCAGCTTGCCATCTACTTAAAAAATTTTATTTATTTATTTATTTATTTATTTTTGTTTTTGTTTTTCTTCCGGTACCAGGAATTGAACTCACGACGTTGCCCTTGCCAGGCAGGCACTGTGCCGCTGAGCTAAATCCCCAGCCCCTATTTACTTACTTTTTCTCCATCCATTTTTGAAGGAAAGTTTTGCATAAGCCAGAGTTAGAAGTTGTTACCTTTTAGGGCTTGACACATTTCAGTCCAAGCCCTCCTGTCTTTTAGGGTTTGTGTTGAGAAATCTGCTGTAATTCTAACCTTTATGTATGATTTTTTGCCTTTCTTTAACAACTTTTAAGACTTTGTCTCTGTGATGAACTCTTGATACTTTGAGTATACTATAGCATAGAGAGGTTCTTCTTTGGTCACCATTATTTAGGGTTCTATATGCTTCATTTATCTGTATGTTTATTTTCTTTCTCTATATTTGTGAAATTTTCTGCCATTATTTCTGTGAACAGGGTTTTAAAAAATGACATTTGTGTTGTCTTCTGATTTTTCACTTATTCCAATGGATTTATTGTTGTTATTGTTGTTTTGGAGACAAGGTCTTGCTGTGTAGTTCAGGCTGGCCTTGAGCTCTCTAGGTAATCCAGGCTGGTCTGGAACTTATGATGATCCTCCTACCTTTGCTTCCCAACTGCTAGGATTACAGGTGTGTGCCATTGCACCTGGCTTCAATTATTCCAGTTACTCCTAGATTAATCTTTGCATCATCTATCAGCTATTAGATCCATTTTTCATACTCTCTTGTATTTATTTATTTATTTATTGATTGATTGGTTGTCTTTTTGAGACAAGGTCTCGCTGTGCAGTTCAGGCTGGACTTGAGCTCACTTTGTAGCCTAGGCTGGTCTCGAACTCAAAATGATCCTCCTGCGTCAGCCTCCCGAGTGCTGGGATTACAGGCATGCACGACCACGCCCAGCCTTCTTGTTTTTAAGGTATCTTTGAATAGTTGGTCTTAGAAGGCATCATTGTTTTCTAATTCTGAAATTCTGTCTTTATTAGGGGCTGGGGATTTAGCTCAGCGGCACAGCGCCTGCCTTGCAAGCGCAATGTAGTGAGTTCGATTCCTGGTACTGGAAAAAACAAAACAAACAAACAAAAAATTCTGTCTTTATATTTGTCACTTCTG